AAAATAATAAAAAGCATCCGATTTTACAAGAAATATAGTCAGTCCCAACACATTTGACAAAAGCCCCAGCACCCCTATTTTGGCCACTCTGCGATACTTTCCTCAGATGTCCCATATGATTAGTGAAAAGATATGTTCGAACAGGTGGGATACAATACAACGTCAGAAGAACGCCTGAACGTACAGATTAAAGGAAGCCTTGTGTTTTTTAGGTCGGGCGAGTATATGCCATTACTTTTAAGTTTAACTTTAATAGTTTTTCCAGGCACCCGTTTCTCCATCTCCATCGTTCAACCGCACTCCCTACTATAACTTACATTATCTAAACTCTTGGTAACTCATAAATTTGGCCATTCTAGTAACGTTAATAAGTCGAAATTTCGAGTTAGTAAGTCGAAATTTCGAAATAATTAAACTCAAAATTTCGAGTTAGTGATTCGAAATTTCGAGTCAGTAAGTCGAAATTTCGAGTTAGTAACTCGAAATTCCCAGATAAGGAAGTCGAAATTTCGAGTAACTAACTAGAAATTTCGACTTACTTACTCGAAATTTCGAGTTAATAAAAACATACACCTGGCACTAATGCTCCTCCGTATGTAACAAAAACAAATTTATTACAGAAAAATTATTAAAGAAAAATTAAATAACAATTTATGTTTACAAATACCTGTAGTCCAAATAAAAATATAAATCTCGAATGTCTAGTCTGATCCTGGAATGATATTTTTTGAACAGCACTGTTATGTTAAATCCAAGTTAAATCCAAGAACACTTTAGAAGAAATTCCCACAATAAAATCGACAAGAATAATGTTATCTATTTAAAATTCAAGCTCCAATAAATTACTTTATATCCAAGTTGAATAATACTCCAAATTATTGATGACTTGAAAGGTAACTGATGACTTTTAAAAAAGGCAAAGAAAATGAAAAATGTCCCCTTATATATAAGCTAAGAACATTCAAGATCAGTCTTCCATGTTCTACAGTAATCATAATCTAGCACCTTCAAGAATAAAGAATAATCTGGAATTTTCTATCTAAATATAATGCATGAATCATAATCTAGAATTTTCTACAACACTTGTTAAATCTTATTTACACATATGTAGTTATACGTTCTAAAAATAGAACAATAAAAATATTGGAAATACCAACTTGTCAGAGACTATATACATGTTATATGTTGCGTACATAACAAAATATTGTTCATGAAATTCTAAGTGATTAGTATGGACGTTTATATAATAAATATCAATATTTTGTTCTAGAACAATTTATTATTTGCTATATGAATATACGTAATATCGGATCTGCCAACAGCATCCATATACATGTATAATTATTTCGTTGTCTGTTGTTATGCCTGATACTTAATACATGTACATCTATTGTATTACAAACCTTTTATTATAGACCAATTTAAGGAATGAGAAAGAAAAATAAGGTGCTTAGTGATCCAGTTTATGATGGGTTATTCCAACATAATGGGTTTGCGACCAGCATGGATCCATGCTGTTCGCAGTCAGTTTCTCTACTTGTAATAGGGTTTGTTAGCGAACAGCATGGGTCCTGATCAGACTGCGCGGATGCGCAGGCTGGTCTGGATCCATGCTGGTCGCAAACCCAGTATGTTGGTTTTGTCGTGACGCGGCTCAAATAAATAAATAAATAAATGTTCCTTCTTTGTCTATACTGTAATGACAAAATCACGAGTTGTGTTAGAATATTTTGTAAACGTCATTTTTTTCTGAGGAAAACAAAACGTCGAGAGTTTAAAAATAGAGTTTGTTTTCATTGAACTGATTATATATACATGTTCATGCATTATCACAGCTATAACATAGAAATAGATTTTGTTCGTTTTTTCTGGTGCCTAACACCTGTTTTGGTCATGGCTCGGCGGTCCATCACCCTTACCCGCTTACCTGAATAACTAATCAGTAACTACCAATTTCTCATCAAGTGACCACTACAAGTCCATGAGAGAAAAATGACCATTAGACTCAATGTCCGAACATTATATGGCAGTTATAGTGTTTAAGTATTTTGCATTGATGTAAAAATAACCTCTTCTTTTATGATTTTGCTACCTTAATGATACATTGTTCATATTTTGTTTGGATAAGCATCAAATATACTTTGATATCATTTTACTAAATGAGCCGCGTCATGACAAAACCAACATTATGTTGGTTTTGTCTTGACGCGGCTCATTTATATGCTTTGGGTCTCGGCCATGTACCCTCAATTGACACATGGTCCAGTAATATAATAGTAAAGAAAGAGGACGAGAAAATGATAAATATACATGTATGTAGGCCACTAAAGTTATCAGTATATGTAGCTTGACCAATGCCGCTAGAACTTGTCTGTCAAACATGAAAAGAGATGTTAACATAAAAAAAAAACAAAAAAAAACAACAAACAAACACATGGGTAACAGGTATAATAAATAAGAAGGTGTGCCTAGCTCCACAGAATTTCAATGGCGCTTTACAAGTAAATCATAGTAACAAACTGAGGATTCCGAGGTCTTTAAAGTGCTATTTCCTTCATGTTAAGGCAAAACAGGGTTCTATTACAAAAAATTAGAATATTTAATAATTATAGGTTTTGGCAACGACATGGATTAATATCTTAAAAATTATCTACTTATAAAAAATTAAAAAACGGAGAGCTATGGTGGTGATTTGAAACGGTTTTTTATGGGCGTCGTGATCTTCTTATAGTTAAGCATGTACATGATGTAAGAGGCTCATTCTTCAAAAAAAAAAAACAAAGGATCCCGCCAAATGTTGGCATTTATTACATTTCTTAGGAGATGGGGGATTTTAAGCCCCAAAATTTTTTAAAATAATAAAATTTTTGTTTTGTCAGGACAAAAATTTAATAGTACCGGGTGTTTAAGAGTGTAAACTTTATGAATTTTTGGGTCATGATTTTCATTTCAGGGGAGGTTTTTAAAATGTTTCCCCAGGACCCAAAAATAAAGGGATTATGATTTTGTTACACTGACCCCCTGTCTAGGGGTCCGAGCTGAATTATAAAAATGAAGAGAAATGCGAACCCCATACAGGTATAAATTAAATTTTGATATATAATCATACGAAACCCTTTTAGAAAAAATTTGGGTTTTTTCAAAAAATTTATTTTCCCCATATCAATTTTGGGAAAAAACTTAAAAGATTTTCACAATTTTACCTTTTTTATCAGGGTTTTTTTTTAAAGTTTTTTTATTTTTTTACTGAAAAGATTTCAAGTTTTTTATCCCCGCATTTTAAATTGTAGTTAAAATGGTTTAACAAATTGACAAAAAGTTATAAATATTGTCCTAGTTATACGTATTTCCGTTGCCTTTTTATAAAACGTGGTCTGCAGCAAGTAAGTGTGTATTGTTACTCTTTATGCAATTTTTGTAATGGCATTTTTTCATTTTTATTTATGTCAGGACTGGAAGTGGTTTTGGACCCATCGGAATATTCTACTTCTTGTTCATGTGGTATAATTACAACATGGATGTTCTTTGCTTGGCGGGCTGGTACGGTCGTGTTTTACGTGCTAGATGGAAGAACAGTTAAAGGAACGTCGTCCTTCAATATAGGAGGTACGTATAACTTAATTTAATGAGAATAAAACGTCATGATTAAAAACAAGTAAGAAAAATAAATAGCGCATGCGCAAAGATAGGTATTTCTTAAGGTAGACTTCCCCTAATGGGCACTCTAGGGAACTATAAATTGACAACATAGGATAGCTATGTGCCTTAAATGTTTTTTTTTAAGAACACCATTTAAATTATCGTATAAAGCAATAAAGCAAAATTGTCAGATTTTTTTCTATGTATTTATAGCTTTATATTACAATAATAATAAAAGGACTTAAAAGAATTAGTGATAAAAGAAAATGTTATTTTGAAATATTTTTTAAGAAAGATAGAAAAAAAAACAACAATTTCTAAAAACACTTTAAGCATTATATAATTATGATTTTTTCATTCTTATAATGGTTGTTGTAAAGGAGTACAGAACAATTCAGGGATAATCCATTAGATAATAAAATATCATATAATGATTATAAATGATATACATTGTAATACAATATTAAATCAAGTCACCAAGTTCGTAAAATGCTACACATTGACATTGACCGATTAACTCTCCTCATAGCAATATTTAGATTTTTCAATAACAACAATAGGCATTGCTTTTATAGTATCTCATTTGGGAACATGACAAGATTATTTACAGCTATACATGTTATATTTAATTACTCAATTTTTTTTGAAAAATTCATGTAAATATTTTGTGTGTGGTTTGGGCTTTAATTTCGGAAATAAAGGAATAAAATCAGGTAAAAAAAAAAATTAAAAATGCATTTATTCGTGTTCCAGATGATTTTTTCTGAATGATAATATACCTCGATTTCATATATTATTAAAATTCTTTCGTTTTTATATGATCTATTTGAACAACAATTAGGTTGACCTCATTATTTGCTGAAAGATATATTTTCACATTTTTTTACAACAATGTATACATGTAAATGTCAATTTCAACTCCGTGATCGTAAGGGGTGGGGTTTTCTTTAAAAAAACATGTTTCCCCTGGGCTTTTTTATGGCCAAAAATTTTGGCCCCAAAAACTTTTAAAAAACATTAATTCTTGGGAAAGTTTTTGTTAAAAAGCTAAATTTTAAACAATTATTTTTTACTTTTTTTTCTTAAAACCCTTACTCGGAATTTTCGACTATTTAACCTTTTTTCCCAATTTTATGTAAAGGGGATGCTCTTTTTGCCCTACGCAGAAATTTCGCATGCGCGGGGGGAAGAAATTAAATAATCCCGTCAATTTTTCCCTAGCCCAACCCGGGGGGGCGTCGTAAAAAAGGGCTTTTAGGACCGTTGGGTCTTCTACTTTGAACCTTATTTTATCATTTTTTTGTAAAAAGTGAATTTTGCAAAATTTGAGCAACTCACAAATAAAATTTAAAAAAAAAAAATTAATATTCCCAAACAAATTTTTTAAAATTCTTTTAAAAAACAATTTGAAGCAGGGAAATTTTTTTTTTGGAAATGGGTTACCGCCCTTTAAGTGATATTTTGGGGTTCCTGTTAAAAATGGGGTTTTTAAACTTGGAATTTTGACGTTATTTGTAAAAATTTTTTTGCCCAAACTATTTTTTCACAGACCAAATTTTATATTTTTTTGGGTGGTTTAAATGAACCCAAAACCCAAACCGGTTTACCTGAGTAACATGCTTAGTTTGTAAGAATTTCTGAAAATTCAGTAGGAATGGGCCTGTTTTAATTTGGGCCAAAAAAGAAGGTTATTTTAAAAAAAAATTTAAATAAATCCTGGGTTTTAGCGGTGCGCTGATACGACCGGGAAATCATTAAAACAACGTACAGTATGATACGCCGTTGGGAATTTTTTTACCGGTCTATTCCTAGCGCGTTATTAACTTCCTTATCGGTGTCGGCCTTAGTGATTTTTTCGTATTTTTTGTTCTATAGTAAATCAGTCACATTTGAGGCTTAATTCTTCAATTCCAGCTGTTTCGTGATGAATTATATATACTGTTCTTCAACTTTAAACATTCAACACTATCAATGTTCAAATGAGGCCCGAAATATAATCTGTTTAGCCATCCACTTTTTTTTTCAGAAATCTTCATTCTGTTTTAAAAACTGTTTAAATTCGACACTTTGAAAACTCCTGGACTTGCTGGTGGGTTGTACATTTTAAACCCTTCCGCCAACAAATGAGTTCCTGGAAAATACACAAAAAAAAAAAAACAACTCCTTAAAGTCATCCTATAACAACACACAAAACTACACACAATGCAATAAAATAAATATTAGGTGCAGATCACACATAGTTAGTAAAGAATATGACACTTTTTAAATTTAAGGGACCAAAAACAGGCCCAGAGGGTTTTCTTAATTGGGGGGGGGCTTCAAAAATCAAAAAAGGAAAAAAAAAACTTTTTTTCTAGAAAATACCCAATTTTTTTTTTTGGGGGGGGGGGGGGGGTTTGGGTCTTTTTTTCCCGTAAAAACCCCGGGGTTGAGACTAAAGGTATCAAAAAAAATTTTAATGAGGGGGGGAAACACCCAAAAGGACCCAAATTTTTCCGGTTTTTTCCGGGATTATTTTTTAAAACTTTTTGGTTGGGCCACTTTTTTTAAGGGGGGTTTAATTTTTTGTGCGGGGGTTTTTTTTTTTCAATCTTTCCGGGGGGAAAAAGATACTATGGCCGGTCGGCCAAAGAGGGAAAATTAAAGGTTGGCCACCCTGAATAATTTTTGTCTTTGGGGCACGAGTACACGTAAGTAAAATAGAGTATGTTTTTGAAAAAAAAAATCACGTACGAAATACAAAATAATAGATTAATCTTTAGCTGTTCGCACTTAGTTTTTTCTCGTCTGCTACAAATTTGAAAATATTCTTTGTGTCAAATCTTTGTGTGATTATTCTCCCGGTGTTCGAACCTGTTCCAGTTCTTTCTGTTCTTTGTGTCAAATGGTCCCTTTTGGGAAAGAAAGAAAAAATCCTGTTTATTAATTTGGTGTAACTTTTTTTAAACGTTTTTGGACAAACATTACGATATAAGCATTCTTAAAGATCCTTATGGCTGTAATTTTAAAGGTTGTATAACAACATGGTCAGTAAAATTATACATGCTTATTAAACAATTTTCAAACATCGAAGAATATGTAAAATATGTATTGCAAATAATTTCGCATATTAGATTTTATCCTTAAAATATATGCAATCATTTCTTATTGAAAATTTGACTTAGACGTATATAGAAAAATAAAATTTGTATTACCGCCCTTTATTTATACGAAATGTTAAATTCGGTAATATCTTTATAAATAATGCTTTTTGAGCGCACAAAAGTGATAAATCTTAATTTTGAGCATTCATATTTATGATATAAAAACATTAAAAAAATATGTTACAGGATTCTTTTAAAAGATTTATTTTTTTGCCCTTTACAGGCTTTACGGTTAGGAGAGCCGATGGATAAACATATATTCAAACAGGTAGTAAGTTTATACCAATGGGTTACTATAAAACCACTGCCGCAAACGCTTACAAGCCGTTACCGGGAAATGTTCGGCATCAGGACAAATACAACGAGATCGTTAGATATGCTGTTTAGCCGCTTTATATCAATACCAGGTATATAGGAAATTGCCAAAGGCATAATAATGATGACCTTTTGTATGTTGATAATTTTATATAAAAAAAGAAAACGCTAGCACTTTCTTATTTTAAGGAATATTATTCACGCACAAGCGCTTTTCAATTGATACGTGTAACAGACGTTTAAAATTGTATTTTTTTTCAATATACAAGGTAAATGCCCCTTGTTAACTATCAATACTAACAATATTGGACATACAGAATATTATGATCTAAGTAGTTTACTAATTTAAACCGCGGATAATTCCCATTTTTAGCATACTTGTTAAGAAATTTTTTCTCTAATTTGTTTTGGGGGTATTATATTCAAACTTCTTTCCTTTTAAAAAACAAAGCGGCATTCTTTTGTATTAAATTTTTAATTTCAAAATAAAATGTTCTGAATATAATATGATTTTAAAATTATTTACATTTTAAGCCACCCTCCCAAATGTTTGTCCAACGCCCCCCTTTGAGACGAACTGTTTTAACATGATAGGGGACTGTCATCTTACACGGGTCAAGCTTTAAGATCTTGATTGGTACAGATGAACTCACATATTCTAAAAAATTCAGGGCCGGTAGTTTTTTGGCTTCGATACAATCAGCAACGGTAAGTTTTTTTTTGGGTTTTATATGTCTTTGTTAAAAACTTATAGATTATACTATGCCTTCATTGCAGAAAATTTTCTGTCTTAGAAAAAGGAAAACATTGCACCGCTACTTTTATAATAATGTAATAATAGATTCAGAACATTTAAGATGATTATCACCTTTAGAAAATGGTGCTGATTATGAAACAATTCGTCATAAGGTATGTAATGCTAAAACAAATAGTAATTTAACATCCATGCAAAATATTTTAACACTATAACAGCATTACTTGCCGAAACACCAAATAAGAAAAAAAGTTGGTTGTGCTATAATAATGGTTGATCAGATTCTTTAGGCACCAGTCATAATTTCGTTACCAATACCTATTACACCAGTTGACCATTTTTGACAGATGGCAGATTCCGATATTTGTTCTGTTAAATTGATGGACGGATCTTCAACTGCATGAGAAGTGCAGCTTTTACACAGTACGATCCTTACAAAACTGTTCAACATTGGTACAATTTAAATTTGGCTGAAAAAGCTAGAAACAGTTTTTGTCATATTCACATAGTTACTGTAGATTTTTTGTTTGTTTTAATTTCAGAATTATTAGATAAAATACACATAATTCAAGCCAAAGGTTCGTTCAAAACACTTTCCATGTATAGATCGTTATTGTATGTAGTGGATGTAATGTTTGGGGTGTATGACCCAAGATGACCCATATTAAAACTTGAATTAGGAATCGTCAAAACAACTTTTCTGGCCAAAGTCACATAGCTAATTAACTAAATAACAGTAACAAAATACAGGTTTTGTTATAAAACTATTCAGGTGCAGAAAATATAATCCAAAGATGTATGGAAAGCAGAAAAAGAAAACCAGACCATAGTGTGGACCATAACTGCCATCAGAAAAAAATCCATCGGACTTGTTTAACCTATCTCTTTTTGCTTGGTGTCATTTTACATGTACAGATTTTTTTATTTGGCAGTTACGTTAACATACACTTCACCATTGAGCGAAAGTACTTACTATGTAGAGCTGGCTGTGAGCGACGGTTGTAATGGCGAGGTGACTGGTACAGTAACAATCAATCTTGTGAACGAGGTACGCTTTCGGTAATATTACACGTCGTTTCTTTTCGAAACATGCAGAAATATTTGATACAGTTTACGTTTTATTAAGCGATATATATAGTCCAACCTGAAGTTTCAGAGTCATTGAAAAGTTATATATTTCCCATAACAATGGAATACAATAACATGTACACACCAATAATTAATGAAATTACTTTTAAAATCATGTGGTTACAGGGATTTTCCCCCTAGACTTCAAAATTTATCATAAAGTTATCATATTATCTGTTTCCCTTTTTTTTCATTGTATATAATTTTTTAAGAAAAAACAGGAATTTCCAAAAAAAAGGGAAAACGCAAATTTTAACTATATTTTTTCGGGCCCGTAAAACAAAATTTTTTAAAAAAAAAGCAAAGGTGGAGAAGATTTTTTAAAATTTACGTAAAATCTAGTTACTTTTAAAAGGGTTTTAGGGTATTGGAAAAAATTTTTTCACAAAATTTTAAAAACTTTTTTTAAAATTGTAAAAGTGGTTTTTCCTTTACATTGTAGTTATAGATATTATAATATTAAAGAAAAGTGTAAGTCCAGGGAGTTGTTCAATATTCATTTTTGAGGGGATGTACTATTAAAATAAATTAAATTACCTTTTCAAATTAATAATGCATTATAATTTATGAAAGAATTTATATTCTTGTCAATGTATATTTTCTTTGAATTAAATGTGGATATTTAAGCAAATGGCCAAGTTATTATATTCAATGTGGTTTTTTTCTTTAAACGACATAACAGTTTGAGCATTTTTAATCAACAATTTTTAAAAAGCGGATGTTTGATAATGTTATCATAACTTATGTTAACAGGGACCAAGATTTACCAATCTACCAGCTTCTACAACTGTGGTAGATTCAGAAAACAGCGTCCAGGACTCTTCTATACATTTACCGCAACAGACCCATCTGGCCCATCTGGCGATAGTTTAACATGTTCGTTATATGATACAAACCCAGATGGAGGGCCATTCAGTATTTCTCAAGGAGTTCCTAATGTTTATGGTAAGTTTACATCATTTAGATGATAAAAGTAATAGACATTTTTGTAGAATATTGTTTTCAACAGTTTCATTTAGCTTATTTTTTTTCTATTTGACAGGTATTAATACTTATAATTCCTGTCATAATAATCTGAATATGTCTGGTAAATATATGGATATAATTATTTATAATACACTTACAAACTTAAAAATTGAGAAATACTGAGGATATAAAACGCATATAATTATTTATCTTTGCAGTGTGAGAAGAAAAACAAACACATATTTTCTCTGGTATTTTGCCGGATTACTGTCTTTTAAATTCAGCCAATATACTAAACACAATTCGGGTCGCAATGTCAAAGAAAGGAAAAAGTGTATAATAAACAAACAAAAAGTCAAGTTAAAATAAATTTTCATTGTATGGTATGAAAATTATCATATTTTACTTGTGGCTCGCTTGACTTGTGAATCCCGTATTAATAAAGAATCCCTGAAATATCCCATATTTATATTTTACAGGTGAGTATAACATTGTACAATCAGCCTCACCAGGATATACCTATTCGACAAAGAAATATTACGATTTGCGGATATCCTGTACAGACGGTGTGACGACTGTGTACTCAAACTTTCAAGTTGACGTCGTCAAAAACGAAGCTCCTACTTTCACTGCAGGATCAAGCGGTTACGTTCCAGGTATACTTATAAAACTGTATAGTTTTTTAGAGAAATAAACTCTTACCATGCTGGGATCGAACTCGTCTAGCCTTTTCTACCCTAGCAAAGACAAGGCAGCCTGCACATCCTTGCAGTAAGAGCATGCATTTTAATCTGCTCGCTAATTATAATACATTTTGTTATCATCCAAACAAACACCTATGAAAATAGCTGTTTATTTTGAAATTTCGGTAAGGTTTAGATCATTCCGTTATGTATTATATTTCATAAACAATACTTTTATGAATCTTTCTATTTAATATATGTAAGAGAATATGTGATCGTTTTGCTCATTTAGAAGGTATAATGTTTATGCTTTAAATTTCTATTTAAGGATCGATTTCTGTGGACAGGACTGCAGGTACTTCAATATATCAGCTTATATATTCTGACGCGGAGTCAGACACCGTGTCTTTCACCGATCCTCCCACTTGCAGTGACAATGGCCACTGTCCCTTTGCAATAAGCGGAACAGGTAAGAATATATTTTACAAAGTTCTTTTAAGGAATGTCAATAATATCGTAGAAAAAGACTTATTTGAAATTGTCTTAATGAATAGTGTGGCTTATAATTATAACGCCTCACGTTATTTATTTACTATATAGCCTTATGTGACTTTAGACATTAATAATCCGTTATGACAAATGATAAGATCGCATCTAGGCCGGCTGACATTACCAAACGGTCCTCACGCGTATATGTTTCTGTTCCGTATTCGTTACCTCCCTTGCTTAGACGCTTTAGTTGCTAATTGATAAAGCTGTTTGTATTACAGAAATGACATCCAACTGAGTGTGATTGAGATCATTCATGGCAGTATAATGTTAACCTCAGCTCACGTCTCAGTTGACATGACTTATCTTGGTTAAACATTTCATTTTATCTCACACCTTATAAAATGTACCAATGAAACTTGCACAATGTGATCTCATATAACCATTACTGCATGGGTCCAGTCTTATCAGTGAAGCCTCGATTTTGGAGTCAAAACAATTCAGAGCAAATCAATATTGTATTCCACCAATACTCATTGTTAATGTCCAAGCCCAAAACGCCGTTTCACTCCCATATGCTCTTTCCTGTATGTTTTTTCTTTTCCGTGTACAAACAATCTATATATGTTCGTTCCATATTGTACTCGAAGTAAGAAATGTCTGTCAAAATGTTTAAAGACTAGCGCCTTGTCCAATATAGGTTTTACAGCTTTGTACTCGTAAAGTATAATTCAGTTTTGTACTTAACAATGTATAATAAGCTCATCCCATCACCCTCGGTGATATTTATATATTTCATAAATTAAGTTTCTGAGAATTAAATATAACTTGAGATTTAATAAATTAACGATGAATTCACACTTTACGTAGCCATAATTTTTTATTGATGGTCTTGCTACAGCTCGTTTCTTTTGTAACATACAGATCATATAGATTTTATTGTTTACTATATAACTATATTTTCCTCTACATCCTGTGGGCTTTCTATGTTACTAGTAAAACGAAAGAGATCAATTACATTATTAAAACAAATTTGCCGTATATATTTTTTCTGTATTTAATAGAGGTGTGTGTAACGTTATATCAACATGTATTCAATAAACTGTAATCTTAAGGTTGTGTATATTTGTTTTGTAATATTGCACGATTTGCAAAAAAAAAATTATATATATATATGTTTTCTGTTCTGTTCTATTATTGTCTTTATTTAAATTGCATTTCTTAATAATATAGCACATTTTAATATATTTTGATTATTATGATATACTTAGGTGAGATAACAACAAATGCTGTACTTGAGGAGGAAGGCTACAATCTGGATATCACAATACGTGACAATTATGGAAATGCAGAGACACATTCTTTATCTGTTGTTACTTCTGGTACAACACTAATTATGTTACTTATTTGAATCTATCTACCATGAAAATAAGTAAATCTGAACACGTACAAAAAAAAACTACAAAAAAAGTTTGTTAAGAGAAAAAAGAAGAAAAATATTTTAAAATTACTATCATCTTACAGTAACTGTTATTGAACTCAAAGTGAATATCTGGTATTTACATTAATATCTGGAACTTATGCGTACCTATTTGGTATTTGTAAACGACAATATCTGGTTTAAGGATGAATAATACATGCACAGTGACATTTGAAACATTGTTGATTTCCCCACCCACCCCCATATAATAAATAAATAAGAAATAAAAATAAAATAAAACAGAGACTTGGTTATTTAATCATGGTCTTTATTTATATTATTTGTAAAGTCTTCATACCATTAAAACAAAAAGTAATAACACTGAGTAATTCTCTTTTTGAAAAATAAATCATAAAATAAAATTTGAAATTTTGTTCCAGGTCGTCCTTATACGTTTAATGAAGCACCAATATGGAGAAATCTGCCAGCAACAAAATACGTGATGGAAAATACACCTGTTGGAACATCTCTGTTTAAAGGTTTGACATTTGTAGTGTAATATACATAAATTTACATTAATCAAACTCATTTGGCATTAAAGGGAATATACACTTTTTACTATGATTCTGTTTTCATACTGTGCTTTTATGTATTTTTTATCCTGCTAGGTTGAAAACAAAAGTGTTCAACATTGGTAAATCATGTTTTATTTCTATAGTGCCTAGTAAAATGATTTTTGTTAAACAAAAGTTATCTTATTATACATTTGTCAAATGTGAATTTTTTCCCAGGACGTTTTCTGGAGTTTTCATATAGACATATAGACAAAATTTCACATAGACATATAGGAAAAATTAAAACTGTTCTATAGAATTTCTTAAAAATTGGCATGTTGTTAGAATATGGTAACAGAAATATTTTAAGCGAAAAAAAAAATTGGGGTCACCGTTCTTATTTTCGAGTTATCTGCCCTTGAATTGGACTTTTTCGTTAAATCAAGGGCAGAAAGTTTGCAATGAAAAAAAAACAATGCATCTTTTTTTCTTATTTTCATGAAGCTTATCTTCGTTTTAGTCGATATGCAAAATTTCAAGAAAGAATTTAGAGTGGATAATTTTTTTCCAATTCTTCTTTTAACCTGTACATATCTTTCTTAAAAATGGCCTTTTTTAAAGAATTTAAAGTATCTCTTTTTTCATTGAAAAAAACAACAACAGAAATGGTATAAGGAATTGTATGTTATTATGTATCGTACTCAACAGTAGAAAGAAAAATATAATTCATAAGTAAAAACAAGAATTCATTTAAGTATGTATAAGTTATCTGCCCTTGAATTGACCTCAAATAAGTAGAAAATTCTGATTCAGGGGGAGATAACTCAAACACCAATTTTTTTTCGCTTAAAATGATTCTGTTATCATATTCTAACAACATGCCAAGTTTAAAGAAATTCTATTGAACAGTTTTAATTTTTCCTATATGTCTATATGAAAACTCCCGAAAACGTCCTTATAATTTTATAGAAAATATGTCTAATATTTACAAGGTGCATGTATTTTTTTTTATAGTTTTCAGTTTCTGTTACCTTTAAATTATATATACACATTTCACACAAGTTACTCGATTTTTCCTTTCGTATCTACTGTATCTGCCTATTTATTCTTTTACATATCATTAGTAATCGTATTAAATAAATTTTATAGTTAAATGTTCTAAATACTCTTACTTTATTGAAGGGTTTAAAGATCCTACAAATACTGTTCTGATCTATACTTACTTTGCAATGTTTGCATTTCTTTACTTCATACTATTTGTTTCTTTTTAAATGTTATAATGTGCCATGATATGAATTTCCATTTCAGTGATCTACACAGACGAAAATCCGACGGATACATTTACAATGGCAAATGTTTCTCCTGGCTCAGATGATGTTAATACATACTTCCAATTTGATGCCACAAGTAAATATAAACTTATTTATAACACAGAAAAGATAAAAGTTAAAGTGTACTTTAACCCATTACTTCATATACACGCCTTTTAACGCCTTTTTCACCCCCCCCCCTTTTTGTTGTCTCAAATGATGAAAAAATGCCTTATTTAGGCCCCAAACACTTGTTTTTGTTTGAGAAATGTTGTTAAAAAAAGTGACCTCTTTTTCGGCGCGGCCCCCCAACCAAAAGATACATCAGGGGGTTGCCAGAAGGGGGATGTGCCCCCTTCTGTTTGGGGGGTTTGATGGGGGGCGGAGTCCCCCTCATCGCCAAGAAAATTTTGGACTTGTGAAAGGCTGTAAATGACCCCAGATTGATCATAAGGTAACGTGTAACCAACGCTGAAAAGCATTTGACTCTATCTCAATCCATTGAGAAGTTGCAGCACTTTGAAATCAATTTTGATGGAAAAAATCAACGCAAAATAGTGATTTTTGGCAATTTTGAGATGTCCCCTCGTTGCCATGGTAACAGAAAATTTAAGCCTGAGCATGTTGTTGCAAGGGCAATGGTCCAGTCAACATTTGTGCCAAGTTTGATTAGTGTTGAAGCAGTTTTTATAGTATTATAGCAATTTGAACTTGTAACGGGAGACTTTTCAATGAAAACAGCCATTTTTCACAAAAAGCTCATGAAGCAATGGGTTAATGAAAAAAATAAAAAAATCTACAAAACAACCATTTTTCATCAAATTTATATGACAGGCCATGTTTAAACATGAAAAAACGCGATTTAGGGTAATTTCAAGTATTTTCATCATTTTCTGTTAACCCATTACTTCATATACACGCCTTTTAACGCCTTTTTCACCCCCCCCCCCTTTTTGTTGTCTCAAATGATGAAAAAATGCCTTATTTAGGCCCCAAACACTTGTTTTTGTTTGAGAAATGTTGTTAAAAAAAGTGACCTCTTTTTCGGCGCGGCCCCCCAACCAAAAGATACATCAGGGGGTTGCCAGAAGGGGGATGTGCCCCCTTCTGTTTGGGGGGTTTGAAGGGGGGCGGAGTCCCCCTCATCGCCAAGAAAATTTTGGACTTGTGAAAGGCTGTAAATGACCCCAGATTGATCATAAGGTAACGTGTAACCAACGCTGAAAAGCATTTGACTCTATCTCAATCCATTGAGAAGTTGCAGCACTTTGAAATCAATTTTGATGGAAAAAATCAACGCAAAATAGTGATTTTTGGCAATTTTGAGATGTCCCCTCGTTGCCATGGTAACAGAAAATTTAAGCCTGAGCATGTTGTTGCAAGGGCAATGGTCCAGTCAACATTTGTGCCAAGTTTGATTAGTGTTGAAGCAGTTTTTATAGTATTATAGCAATTTGAACTTGTAACGGGAGACTTTTCAATGAAAACAGCCATTTTTCACAAAAAGCTCATGAAGCAATGGGTTAAGATGAAACTGAATCAAACAATACTTATAAAGTGAAACAAAATGTTTATATTCTGTTGCAAAATTATAACAACTTAAAATACGTTAAAGCATTTTCGAAACTTAAAACATGCATTTTATTTTGAAAATGACTTGAATACGAAGGTCATTGGTAAAGAAACAATCAATATTATTAATTTTATCGTTATTCAGTGGTTATCAGGGTATATGGTATACATGTACTTACAGAGTGCATAAAACATTTCATTTGAAATTACTAAGATTATGAGATGTGTGAAGTTGGCGGCCCAGCGGCCTGGCGGCCTGGCGGTGTGAAGTTGGCGGCCCAGCGGCCTGGCGGCCTGGCGGCGTGAAGTTTGTGGCCCAGCGGCCCAGCGGCCTGGCGGCGTGAAGTTGGTGGCCCAGCAGCCTGGCGGCGTGAAGTTGGCGGCCAAGCGGCTGGCGGCCAAAATTTTAATGTTGTAGAAATGTTATTTTTAACACTAAAACGGCATTTAATGAAGTTTTAAAAGATAGTTATTGTTATTTAAAGGATATATATCAAAAGAAAAATCAACTTTCAGAGAACTTTTTTTTTTCTCATTTTTGTGAAGTTGCGGCCTGGCAGCCCAGAGGCGCCTGACGGCCAAAAAATTTTAATGTTGTAGAAATGTTTTTTTTAACAATAAAACGGCATTTAATGAAGTTTTAAAGATAATTATTGTTATTTAAAGGATATATAAAAAGAAAAATCACTTTCAGAGAACTTTTTTATTTTTGTCATTTTTGTGAAGTTGGCAGCCCAGCGCCCAGCGGCCTGACGCCAAAAATTTTTAATGTTGTAGAAATGTTTTTTTTTAACAATAAAAACGGCATTTAATGAAGTTTTAAAGATAATTATTGTTATTTAAAGGATATATAAAAAGAAAAATCACTTTCAGAGAACTTTTTTATTTTGTCATTTTTGTGAAATTGGCAGCCCAGCGGCCCAGCGGCCTGACGGCCAGAAGTTTTAATGTTGTAGAAATGTTATTTTAACACTAAAACGGCATTTAATAAAGTTTTAAAGCTAATTATTGTTATTTAAAGGATATATCAAAAGAAAAAAACACTTTCAGAGAACTTTTTTATTTTGTCATTTTTGTGAAGTTGGCGGCCTGGCAGCCAGCGGCCTGACGGCCAAAAATTTTAATGTTGTAGAAATGTTTTTTTAACAATAAAACGGCATTTAATGAAGTTTTAAAGATAATTATTGCTATTTAAAGGATATATCAAAAGAAAAAATCACTTTCAGAGAACTTTTTTTTATTTTCTCATTTTCCATAGGTAAACGAGCCTTGGCGTTGGGATTTCCTATCTCTATCTTTTATATAATAATCTCGATTATTTTTTCACTCACCTGGACACACAAATATCAGTGAATCTACTTGCTACGCGCATTACAACGTACCTAGTTTTTCAAAAGCGAGGGCTTAGGCGCCTGACTTTCTATGATTAAAAAAGCATTATGTACGTCCGCAGAAATTATACTGACCAAGATTATGTGTGATGCAAGGTTATCATGATAAAACACATCAATATTAAAGTCGGAAAGTGTCATAATATAAGTGTTTATAAGGAATTCAGTCGGTTGACAAAAAGCGTTACCGTTTACAAAGCTGTTTCTACTTATTTGGTTATTTTGGCCGAATATTCAATCAATTATATCAAAAATGAGATTCGTCATTAAGAAGCATCTATTATTGAGAGATAATAAATTATAAACCTCTTCATGATTTCCGATAGAAGACCTTTTCTGTTCTAATGTTGTTTGAAACCGGTTTGTACATTAAAGATTAAAGTGATAGCGTTTGTGTAGATGAGCTACGCAATTCGCGGGTCAGTGATTTCCCACAAATATTACGAAAATTTTCAAACAATATTTTTTTTGTGTTTATTATTTATATCAGATGTGTTGAGTACGTTTAAGATAATTATTTAGTGACGCAGTGGTCAAGTCCACTATAAGGGTGTAAAACAGTTATCATATTGTATTTATCATCTTTAACGATATAAACAATTTGCCAACCGTCCCACACTTAACGCAGTAGGTAAGACTGTCAGTTAAATTTCTAGTTGAATATCAATGCAATGCAGGTTCGATTCGCAAAAATTATTTTTTGTATGAAGAATATTTAAACGCACTACGATTACATAGTATTTATAATTTGAATACATGGATCAATATATAACATATATTTTTACTTTTCTTATAATGCTTTCTCCTGATGCGGGCGTTTTTTTCAAACTGTACGCAAGTGCATATCAACCAGTGTCCAAAAATATCTGATGCATTTGTAACTATTTGAAACAAAACCGGCCAAATAAGAAAAAGATACATAAGACAGCCAAATGTAATAGTACTTATATATATAACCATGATTCGACCATGAGTATAACACTGAAACGTTCGCTCTGCTACTGCGCTATCAAAGCACATAAAAATCTGACGTTTACTTTGTGTTTTATTCATAAAGGCATCAGCTTGACTTTACCTTTTTATGGAAAGCCATGGCTGTCTTATATTGTTTTTTTTTAATTTATTTAACCATTTTGGTTAATTTATAAGTTCGCTTCGACTATATATGGATTGAAAACACCTTCTAATTAACCGGAATCCATTATGTTAATCCACAGCTACAAGATATGAAACCATACATCAGTGAATGAAACAGAGTTTAGCAATATATTAGTTGATTTTCTCGATAATGATTCCAGTTCTTCAATATATGGTACCAAGTAGCCATATATGGAACCAGATATCCTGATATTAAACCGAGTTATCACAAATATTAATTCATTTTTCAATATATGAAACCAATGTATCAATTTATGAAACCAAAGTAGAAATATATAAGTTGGTTATCACATTATATGATAACCAATTCTTCAATATATTGTACCAAAGTAGCCATATATGGAACAAGATGTCCTGATATGAAACCGAATTTTCAATATATTAATTCATTTTTACAATTTATGAAACCAATTTATCAATGTAACGGAACTAAAGTAGCAATATATGACCTGATTATCACTTTATATGATACCATTCTTCAATATATGGTACCAAAGTAGCCATATATGGAACCAGATGCCATTATATGAAAACCGAATTATTTTTTACAATATATGAAACCATTATATTAATGTAATGGAACCAAAGAAGCTGTATATAAGTTGATGTTACATTCTATGACAGCAATTTCCATTACATGGAACCAAAATAGCCTATTTTTCAAGTCAACAAGTCAAAGGCCGAGGTCACTGGGTTCTGTTATTACAAGGCATAAACTTTTTCATTAAATCAATTATTTGACTGGTTATTTGACAACTTTGTGAATAGATTAACCTTGATGTGTCCTACTGGCCATGCCCATTTTTGATCAAAGGTAAAGGTAGAGATAAACTTATGTTTAAAAAATATGTTCTTGTTTATGGTCAGTACGACTCAGTAGCTTAAATTATGACTAAAACCTCGTGCATATATAACTGCCCAGCCCATTTTAAGGCCAAAGTAATTGAATGTGACGTTAAATTCAAATATTTCCTTA